TAATAAAAGGTATTGTGGCCCTTGGCCAACCTTCTGTCTTGTTCAGCTCTTGTTCGGGCATGGAGACCCCTGTAGCACACCGCAGTCTGTATCTATATGTGGCACGGGGTAGATCTGTTGGTGAAGATTGCCTAGCTGGTTGCACCCTCTAAGTACCCATTCGAGTATTTGTCTATGGTTGAGGGACTGCTCGATCAGGTGAGAATCTTATCTGTGTGTGTACTGGACCAAATTCTTCCTTGCGATGGAAATTTACAATCACTCCAAGCTGACATGAAAGTGGAGATGCTGGTGTGTTGGTCTGATAAGGTACCCTGTCCTGGCAGTAAGGCGCAGATCGGCGAAGAGGAGTTACCTAAGCGCCCTCCTTAATTTCACCATCTTTGTAGCGCCAAAAGCAGTAAAATGTTTTTAATTTTTCTTTACGCCCTTTGGGTATTGATGTGTGTGTGTGTGTGCGCGCGCGTGCAACCCCCCCCCCCCCCTCATACACAGATAACTCGCACACATGTTATAATTCTGTAATCCAAACCAGAGGGAGCTTTAGTCGTCAGCGGAGTAGGAAAGGAGTTGTAGCGGAGAGGTATTGCTCTACCTGTCCATGCCTCGACTTAATAGCAAATGATCCTCAATTCCCTGTAACTACGCAGCAAAAATTGCTGACATATTTGCATCTTCTGTATGCACAATGGTATGTATTTAAAATGTGCGTTGGTCAGTAGGCCTATGATAGACAGCTGTGAGATCCGATTGGCTATTTGTGATGTGAATATGATAGTGACTAGACATAGGCCTACTCCATGATGAACATCCTAGGCCTAAGACACCGTTTCCGGTTTGTAGGACTTCCAATGTTACAAGAGAGACCTAAGGGATGAGAACTCAAGAGTAATTTCTAATTCTCCCTCACTCCGGACTCGACTTTTGGTGAAGTTTTTCCCCAAGTAAAAGTTTAGTCACGCGGAAAAAAGCCACTACCCGACTCCTCGGGTTGACTTGGGAATGTAGGAGAGTGGCGATTTCCTATATGTAGCCTTGTATGCATTGTCTGGATTTTGAGGAATACAAATATAAATATAAATGATTTATGATTTATGATTCCTGAAGAAATTTTATCCATAATTTTGCATGCTTGGGTTCATTTGATTGATTCAGGATCAGGCCTAAAAATGGACAGAAATAGTCTGAACCAATTATGAGAAGCTACAAATTGAAAAACGCTCCAAAATGTTTGGTTACATTTTGTTTTGCAAGTGCGCTGATGAAGAATCAGACCCTCATGAGAGTAGGGAGGGTGACTAGTTTTGATCATATTTGAATCAGCACAGGCTGTATTCATGTGGGCTTATCTTGTCAGGATTTCCTGTACTTAGGGGGTCTGAGTATAATTATTTTTTAACTTTTTTTAAATATAAATGTGAATGACTTAGTAAGAGCTATATACAAGATGTCCCAAAAGTCCCAATCTATTTTTGTGGTATATCAACATTTTTTTCAATGTCATATGTTTAGATTGAAGAGAGGGACCTCTACAGTGAGTAGCCAGTATAGGTTTTATAAAAGTGATCAAATTGTTGCTGAAAATGCAGAAAATTAAATTTATCAACTGGAGATTGGAAGGGCTAACATTTTTAAGAGTTCCATACACGTTTCCAGCATTGGTTTGGCCAACTGATGAAGCAATAAAATAATTTGTCAAATAATTTAATAGGGAGCTCATTTAATGAGAGTTGGAGCAGATGACCAAGAACGTTGGCAGACACCATTTGTGTCATATGGAATGCTTTTGAGTGCAGTCTTGAAAAAATCTGTCCAACATGTGTCAGTGGAACTAGCTGTGCCAAAAATCACTGTTCATCACATGCTCAATTGTGTTCACAAGGCTAGTTCCAAGGACATTTCCATAAAATGAAAGCAAGATGAATGCAAGACAAAATTTTCTTAAATCCATTCTTTACATCATGAACAATGTCTGTTGACATGCTTGGTCATCTGCTCTGACTCTCATTTTTGAGTTTCCTGTTCTCATTAAGTTTGTTTGCAAATTCTTTGATCATTTGAAACTTCATGTTCAAACCAACACTAGAACCATGGCCACTTTTGTAAAATTGATACTGGCTTCTCACTGTTGAGATCCTTCACTTGGATCTAAACAAATGACATTGGAAAAAATATTGCTATATCACAAGAATAGATAGGGACTTCTGGGACACCCTTATTGCAAGGTAATCTGAATCTGTATGCAGAGTGGATATGTAGTTCCAGAATATACAAGGGTGAGTAATGCAATTGAGTATTTCTTTCCTCAAGTCTTATCTTAATTGTCAAAATAACTTAGTTACCCATCTTGTGACAGCTGGAAGCACAGTTATAGTGCTTTGCAAGTACCTGGAGTTGAGCTATTGTGACTGAGTTAATTTAGTCTGACTTAGTGATGTTATGTTTCTTGAGTTTTCTTTTTAGACAAGGAAGTAAGAAATCACTTGGTGTTAGCGTTGATGTGGCACCTGGGTAATGGTATGTTTAGCTGGAAACTCACTATCTAGGAGTGATTTGTGCTCTGGTGCATTGTCATGCTGCAGGATCTTTTAAAGATCCAAGTGACAGCAGAAAGAGTCCTTGCTCAGGTATTAATGGTATAACCTGGAATTGCCTTTGGAATTTGTCAGCATTTATAACAAATCTCAGTATCACATGCCTTTGCACATTTTTTGGAAATATATATCTTGAAGCAGTATTCAGCTGTATATTATCTGACTCTAATCTTTTCCAAAAAAGCATAAAAAAGTATAATTGATTTTTATACTACATTTAGGTCTTGCTATTTGTCTGAAGGCAGGTAAGAGTTTGGTGCCTCTTTGAATAATAGTAGAACCTTTAGTGATGCCAGAGAGGAATGTGAAGTACATTGCAGATTTTTTGCCTTTCTGTTAGAGATTTTTTATTATATTAATGTTCATGAGTGACATGATCTGGATAATTTTTATATTGTGTCACAAGAGACAAGATGAAAGCCGGAAGGAGATAGACCATGCTCTAATTAGCATATGTAAGCTATGGGTCTGAGTAGGCTAATGTAAATTTTGAAACTTTGAATTGAAAAAATCAAAATATGCAACATTCACTCTAGCAGCAAGAGAGCTTGGTATTAATGGGCAAGTACTCCAGATACATCAATTTTGGTATAACCTTAGCCTTTTCATTGACAAATTTTCTTGCCATTCAACATATTACATACCATTCTTCTGATAAAAGTGTGAATGTAACAATTTTGTAATATTTTGGAAGAGTAAGAATTTGCATCGTATTTATGTAGAGGGTTGTTTTCCATTCCACTGAGAAAAAAAATAAGTCAATTGCTTTGCACAACTTCCTTGTGCAATCCAGGATATTCCTCAATTCTTGTTCTGCTGTCCAAAAATCATTCATTCTTGCTTGCTAAACAGTTTTGAAATTGCATTGTCACCCTTTTGTCAGATCTAAAATGAAATATGTATGTCACTGCTGGACAGCCAGAAGAGTCTGCCATTCATTTATACATTCCTACTTGGGTACTGTAATAAGTATTTGAGGAACTAAGAATAAATCATGTTTGCTACTATTCATAACCTCACATGCACATGTTATTATGCATGTAGTAAACTACACATGTGGAAAAACAAATTTCTAACCACAATTCCACATCTCTACTGGCAGATGCATTTATTCTTCACAAAGTTCCATCTTCAGATGCTTGCTCCCTGCAGCCACTCCGTAAGATTAGAAAAAGAAGTACATTAGTGGCAGAGTTGTTGGAACTCCACATCCCCATTCTGTGAAGATTAGAAACCTATCTTTGATAGTGCTTCCTCAAATGCTAAAGTTTTTACAGATTCAACACACTACCACATCCATTATCAAATCAATTGCAGTGCTTCTTGCCAAATCACCTCTAGTTGCAAGACCAATTTTTTCATCCTCATTTTGCCATGAACAATATAGCCAAAAGTTATTCTCTTATGTGAATATCCTTGATTTGTTTTGTGAATATTTTTTTTTTCAACTCAGTTTCATAAAGTTCCTCTAGATTCCTATTTGGTGTTAGTTTTTTGCTTTGTGTTTCCGTGGTCTGTTGGCAGATTTGTTTAGCAAGCATAATTTTGTTAATGTTCCTGCTGGAATAATTTTCCATGTGCCTGTGATTGGATTCAGTATGCAATGCTTAGGCTATGGAGCACATGGTGCATTTGAGATTCCATATAACCACCAGAAGCTAACATTGAAAATGAATTGAGTGCTCTAGGGGCTTGTGACCACATCAAGCTACATAACTTGGAATGCAAGTGCACTCAGTTTATGATGAAAATTAGAATACCCTGCTAAGGTAGGATTCCCCATAATAGTGCCTTGAACTTGAGCTTGAGCTTGACTGATGTCTTACTGGTACTCTTCTTGCTGTGGAGATGGAGACTGTAAATTGAATATATCTGTGAGAACTACTGAATCCTTTGCTTTGTTTCAGAATATAATGAAGGGGTAACAAGGAAATGTTTGGATTCTTCTGGACATAGCTGTTGGTGAAATATTAAGAATTGCTGTACTCTAAAAAGTAGGCTGGCTTTGTATATCTTGAAATAAGACAGCATCCAGAGGCATTTTTGGGAATATTAAATGAGGAGATCCATGCCAAGAGCAAAAGAGAAAAGTATCTTGCCCTGAAATTGCTATCATGACTTGTATTTGGGTTTAAAAGCACTGCAGTAAAATTTCTAGCAGCCAGGTGCTTTAGTGTTATTTGTTAGCTCCTTTGTATAGAAGATTTGGAATGTCTTTTTCAAAATGTAATAAGACTATTGAGTGCTTTTTTTTTCCTCAAGGTTCTCTATCATGCTCAAACACTATCATTCATGGTAATCTTATTTCCAGTTTTGTTTTCAAGACGTGTGAGGGATAAGCTATTCCAAATCTTGGTACTTGACTGGAATTGTGTCTGGGTATTTTATTTTGTTCTTGATGCCTTATTCCAGATATTGTATATGGATTCATGATTGTGCACAAACCTCTTACACAAGATGCTGTATGTGTTTTATGTTGACACAGGCATGATGCTAACTTTTGACATGAATGTTGCATTGGACAGGTGAGTTCTTTGGTTTATTTCTGGTTGGCATAAGCTCAATGATAGGAAATATATATTTGAATTACTTGTCTTGTAAGCTATAAGTAGGCATAACAGTGACAATATTACACAGTAAATTGTGCCTTCCATCTAAAACATGTAAATTTAACAGTAATAGTTTCTTTTTCTGTTGTGTAATAAATGCAGTAGCAAGTAAAACAAGATAATTTCTAAAGTAACTTTGGCTTCTTGTATGGTTTACCAGCTAGAGAAATTAAAATCTCTTAAAGCAACTTTCTGGGTGGCATAAAGGAAAGTTGAGGGTGACCTTACTGGTGCACAGAACCTGGTTGGCATTGAAGACAGGGATGAGCCTTTAGATCTCAGTCACAATACTAATCCACCCTTGGGAGGGTGGATTAGTATTGTATTGTATTAGTGAATTCCTCCCATGGCCTGTAGAGACATTTGCATTATGTGGACCAAAAGCAAAGTGATCACAACTAAACTTAAACTGCTCTTTATGTGAATTGGCTTTTGTCCTCATTGAAAAAAATGCCACTGCCCTGGTTCAGTTGTTGAAGAAGGTTTAAATGATATATAGCACTTCAACTTTCATTCTTTTACATTGGATGGCAATGACTCCATTTATTCACTTGAACAAAAGCCTATTCACAAAGATGCTATACCATTTAATTTAAAAAGGATTTAAAATTTGTTGAATAACATTCTCCCAGTACTGAAGTTACTTTTGGCAGGATGTAACTTGTTCAGCCTGTTTTTGAAGTGTCCCATCACCAAGTAGAGGCTAAATTATAATTTTAGTTATTGAGGCTTGCTCATGTTTGATCTTGCTTATCTGAATTTATTCTGATTTCAGTGTTTCAAATTTGAAGCAAGTCATTGCCAGAACATGCAAGATTCCTCAAGACAAGCAGGTTCTTCTCATTTCGGGAGGTGAAAGCCTCATGGAGAACACACGAGTTGCCAGCTATAGTGCAGGGACTGATACAAACCCAATATTCCTCTTCAGCAAGAATGTCATTGAATCTGCTATCCCTCCTCCTGCCAGTGTTGACTATGACTCAGGTTCCTCTACATTACTTTCAGATACAGGGTGGACATAACATCCCTGGGGGTTTCATGTTCATATATCTTGGAAACAGGGTGATGTAACAATAAGTAATATGCATCATTTGACAGGTTTTCTATGAAAATTTTTATATGGCTCACCATATCACACGTCTCACACTTCCACATGTATGCCATCTCTATCAGCAAATGTATGTAACCTTGTGATCTTATCCAGAACTGCCTCCAATAGGATGGGTGTGATGTTCCGGACTGCTCTCTCAAAGAGTGTGTGCAATTCAGCCACACTTTGTGGGTGTGTGGCATACACAATGTTCTTTACATGTCCTCACAAAAAAAAAGTCTATAAGGATCAGGTCTGGGGACCTGTGTACACCTTTTTGTATGAAAAGTTTCCAAAATGATGGATCAGAGGGGAAGTGGCATCCCTTGGCCTCCCAAGTCCCCAGACCTGCCTCTTTTTGACTTTTTTTTGGGGACATATTAAGAACATTGTGTATACCATGCACTCATCCTTTGAGAGCAGTCCTGAACATCACACCTATCCAATTGGAGGCAGTTCCAGATAAGTTCACAAGAAGGTTGCATACATGTGTTGACAAAGATGGCAGACATGTGGAAGTGTGAGATGTGTGATATGGTGTGCCATATAAAATTTTCCGAGATAACCTTTCAAATGATACATATTACTTATTGCTACAGCACCCCATTCCCAAGATGACGTGAAACCTCTCAGGGACTTCATATCCACCCTGTATTTGAGGTGACTAAATTCATTGGTTCACTAGCAAATCTCTTACATCTCTCTTCTTTCAGATGAAGATCTGAAAGAGCAAGTTGAAGGATGCCTATCTTTGACTCCATCATATGATACTGTTGTTGCACGAGCCCAATTGGCTCAGCAATTTCATGAACTGGCTTGCAAAGTAACTCGAATCTGTCAAGGACTGGTTCATGATCAGCACCTGCAACAACAAGGTATGGGACATAATTATTATCTTGTAGCCTCTATCATGATGCTTTGGTAACTGGTAAACTGCATAACACTCTATTGTTTTGGGATTTACTTTGCTCCCTCAGATCTGCTGTACTGACACTGTTGTTGCATCTCATAAGTCCTGTAAAGTCCAGTGGGGGATGAGCATGTCCTATCTTCAATAGGCCTATTCTCCCTCTTGCCAGCCTAAAAACAAGAGGTCAGGCTATCTAATCTAGCTCCAAAATGCAGGGTGACCATGAATTCACTGGTGGATTTTACACCCTATTATTTTAGCTGATATATGGTATATTAGGTGGACTAGTTAGTTGCATGTGAGTACCTTCAGGATCTATGAAGAATTTAACATGCATGCATTAATTTTCAATGTAGATATGAAATTGCCCCTTAGCAGTTGTGATGGTTTTAGGGATGTGATGAAGGATGAAGTAGTAGTGAAGAGGAATGTTCCTGGTGGTTTTCTCAGGGGATAGTACATAGATTCTTAGATAGAGCAAGGAGGAGGTCGAAGTAGCTGGGGCAGTGATGACGCGGAAAGGTTAAATCCGTTAGGACGCCCATCTGCTGATGTGGCCCGCAGCGAAACGACCACTCTGCGCTGCACAAAACCATATAAGATTGGAACGTGGAATGTAAATGGTATGAGCACAGGAAAATTGGACATTGTGAAAAGGGAAATGGATCGACTGAACATCGACATATTGGGCATCAGTGAAATTCATTGGACTGGCAATGGCTTCTTCAATTCCGGCCAACACACGGTGTATTATTCTGGCAATGACACCACCAGACGGCGAGGAGTGGGCTTTATCGTGAACAAGAAAACTGCCAAAGCCACCGAGAGTTATCAGACACTCAGCGACCGAATAATGGCCATCCGAATCAGAGGGAAACCTCGCGACGTCACGGTTCTGCAAATATACGCTCCAACAGCAGACGCACCTGAAGAGGAAGTGGAAGAGTTCTATGGTGAACTTCAGGATGCCTTAAGAAAAACACCCAATAAGGACATTTTCTACATTATTGGTGATTTTAACTCCAAAGTGGGAACTATGGCAGAACCTGAAATCGTGGGAAGCTTCGGGTTAGGGGAACGGAGCGAGGCAGGAGACCGACTGGTTCAATTCTGCCAAGAACATCGGCTAACGATCACCAACACTTGGTTCGAACAACCCAAACGGCGGCTGTACACCTGGACATCACCAAATGGAGAACACAGAAACCAAATCGACTACATCCTGTGCCAGAAGAAGTGGCAGAGTTCGATCTTGGCAGTGAAGACATACCCTGGTGCTGATTGCGGTTCAGACCACCAACTGCTGGTAGCCACAGTCAAACTCAGATTCTGCAACACCAAACAAACGGCAGCCGCAAAGATATTCGACACTGACAAGATCAGCCCCAGCTACGCAGTCGAAATAAAAAACAGATTCGACCTCCTCTCTACAGACCCAACAGACAGAAGGCACCCAGACGAGCTGTGGGAAGAAGTGAAAGCATGCATTATCGAAACAGCCTTAGAACATGTGCCATACAAGAAACCATCGAAATCAGCCCGGTGGATTTC